TGCTGACTGGTATGTAGGTGGCACCCCCGTGGATGGGTAACGTCGTGCCTATCTCTAACCTTTGTGTCTCTTTGCAGTGGGCGCAGCCAGTGCTGCTGTCTCACCCTGGGCCTTGTGGAACTTCCGCAAGATGATCAAATGCACCATCCCTGGCAGCCACCCTCTGCTGGAATACGGTGACTATGGCTGCTACTGCGGCTTGGGAGGCAGTGGGACCCCAGTGGATGACCTTGACAGGTTTATAAGACTCTGCTTTTACAAACCTCTTTCTTTGCTTATGCTTTCACGGTTCTGCACACCAGCTTTGTCACAGCTGGCCCTGCCTATAAATATTCACAAAACTCCGTGGCTCCTGTGAATTAAAATTCCTCTCGAAGATCGATTCAAGGAAAAAAGTATGTGTAGCATTCACACCCTGCTGCCTTATTGCCAAGATAAAATATAACCCCGACAGCGGTGTTTTCTGTGGCAGCTACAGCGCGTTCATCCCAGCATTTCTGGCTTTGCAGCAGTGCTGTGCCAGCAGCCTGGGCGCAGCTCTGTGCACGCTGCCCAGTGTGTGACCAGCCACACGTGCAGAGCTGCGCTGTGAAACGCTGAGAAGTGGCTTGGGCAATTTAGAGAGCACACGAGTCTGATAGCCAAGATGCAGTGAACGGCGTTGACTGTTAGCCCTTTGGCTACCAGGCACTGGCAGGGTGTGTGGGGTAAACGCTGGCTTTTGCTTTCCCTGTGCCCAATGGGCAACTGTGAAGATGCTCCAACAAGTACACGTGTACCAGACAGTTCCTGGACTATTACTTGGCAGAACTGTGTCCCTCGGACGTCCTTCATGTGCCTTGTCAAAGCAATACTAGCATATTTACATGGCTTACAGATCAGCTGTGTTTGCATTTCTGGTGTTTTCTGACCATTTTCTCCTTCTTTCTCAGGTGCTGTCAAGCACATGATCACTGCTACACAGAAGCGAGTAAACTAGAATCATGCAAATTCATCTGGGACAGTCCCTACACAGAGTCGTACAAGTTCAGCTGCTCCAACAAGCAGATTACATGTGACAGTACGTCTGCTTCCATGTCACTCCTCTTCAAACCTTAGTTTCTCTTCTGAAGGAGTGGGGTGGGGTTACACCCCTGCTTCTGGGGCGGGAAGGCACAATGCAGGTCCCTGCGGGGGGGGGTCTGCTTGTTAGAAATGGGGCACCTCACACGGGCACCGCAGCAGATGTTGTCCATGCAGCACCCGAGTTATGGCTGATGAAGATAACACGGCGTTGCAGCACGCAGGGGAAGCCTGTCCCCTCTTCAGGGAATCGAGTCCCTGTAACGGCAGCGTTTAGGAGCTCAGCACATTGACGGGGGAGCATTAGACGGCGTCTGCTGGGCATCCCTGATGGCACGGTGGAGCTTCTGCAGGGCTCTGGAATGGAGATACCCAGCAGACAGGCTGGCAAACAGCACTGCAGGGAAGGAAGGAAGGAGCAAGAAAGTGGCAGGGCCAAAGCACCACAGCTCCGGGGCCAGGGGTTTAGCGGGGAGCCCGAGGAGTCACGGCCGCGCCGGGGTCTGACCGCTCCTGCTTCCTCCTCCAGGCAAGAACAACGAGTGCGAGGCGTTCGTCTGCAACTGCGACCGCACCGCGGCCATGTGCTTCGCCAAGGCGCCCTACAACCCCGAGCACCACAAGCTGGACACCAGCAAGCACTGCAGCTA